CTGATAGGTGCAAAAGCATTTATACACGCAGCAAAAGAAGGATCAACTTTTGCTATTTATGCTGCACCTATTTCTGAAAACGTAAAGACTTCAAGTAGCATTCCAAGTCAATATCAGGAGTATCAAGACGTTTTTGAGAAAAAGAATGCAGATATTCTTCCTGAGCATCGTCCATATGATTGTTCAATCGACCTCAAGGAAGGAACTCAGCCACCATTTGGACCAATTTACAGTTTATCGCAAGATGAGATGGCTGAACTCAAGACATATATTGACGAGAATTTAGCGAAAAATTTCATACGCCATTCAAAATCTCCAGCAGGAGCTCCGATTCTATTCGTAAAGAAAAAAGATGGATCTTTACGAATGTGTGTTGATTATCGAGGACTCAACAAGATCACAATCAAGAACAGGTATCCATTACCTTTGATATCAGGACTCCTTGACCAGTTGAATCAAGCTAAGATCTATACAAAAATAGATCTAAGAGGAGCATATAATCTAGTACGGATCAAAGAAGGAGATGAATGGAAGACTGCATTTCGAACCAGGTATTGACATTTCGAATATAATGTCATGCCCTTTGGACTCACGAATGCACCAGCTGCTTTTCAACATCTCATGAATGATGTATTTCGTGAATTCTTAGACAATTTTGTCGTCTGCTATCTAGACGATATCCTGATCTATTCCAAGAACGTCGAAGAACATGAAATACATGTTCGTCAAGTATTACAAAAACTTAGAGATGCAGGATTGTACGCCAAGATGGAAAAGTGTGTATTTCACACTACTCAAGTTGACTTTTTAGGATACATCATTTCAAATGATGGTCTCATGATGGATTCTAAGAAAGTCCAAACAATCGTGGATTGGAAGATTCCAAGGACGGTAAGAGATGTCCAATGTTTCTTGGGATTTGCCAATTACTATCGGATCTTCATCAAAGATTTCTCACGAGTTGCAGCTCCACTTACACGCTTGACTAGTAAAGATAAATTCCAATGGAATCAAGAAGCGGAAGCAGCATTTGAAGCCTTGAAGACATCGTTTGTCTCTGCACCAGTCTTATATCGTGTTGACTTTTCCAAGGTATTTTTTATGGAAACAGACGCATCGGATTTTGCCTTGGGTGCAGTTTTATCACAAATGGGAACAGATGACAAACTTCATCCGATAGCTTTTCATTCAAGAAAATTCTCAGCAGCCGAGATCAATTATGAGATCCACGATAAAGAACTTCTTGCAATCGTGGATTCTTTTCAAGAATGGCGTCATTATCTAGAAGGTGCTTCTAGTCCAGTCATTGTGTATACAGATCACAAGAACCTCGAGTATTTCATGTCAGCACGCGTGTTGAATCGTCGTCAAGCTCGTTGGAGTATGTCTTTATCAAGATTCGACTTCATTATCACTTATCGGCCAGGAAAACAACAAGGTTTGTCCGATGCCCTGTCTAGACGTTCTTATTTTGCACCAAAAGAAGGAGATGCAGCTTTTGAGCAACAAAGAACGGTCCTCTTGAAATCGGAGCAATTTCATCTCCGAGCAGTGAAATCAACACTGACTGTTGATTCAACTTTTCTCAAGCAAATCCAGTCCAGTATGTCCTCAGACCCTCTTGTTCATGATATCGAGAATAATTCTTCCAAGTCTCATGATTCTTCTAAGTTCGAGTTCAAGAATAATCTATTATATTTTGAAGGACGCCTATATGTTCCAGAAGGAAAAGCACGTTTGCGTGTTCTTCAAGCACGTCATGACTTTCCAGCAGCAGGTCACTTTGGATATAATAAGACTTTGGAACTCATATCAAGAGATTTTTGGTGGCCACAAATGTGGAAGTCAGTCAAAGACTTTGTACAATCATGTGATATTTGTTCAAGATCAAAAATTCCTCGACATCGACCTTACGGACTTCTTCAGCCATTACCTATACCAGAACAACCATGGTCTTCTGTTTCTATGGATTTCATCACAGATCTTCCAAACTCAAGATCTTATGATTCTATATTTGTGATAGTAGATCGTTTCACCAAGATGGCACATTTTATGCCATGTACAAAATCTATCACAGGTGAAGAAACAGCTAAGCTTTTCATTGATAATATCTATCGCTATCATGGATTACCTAAAGATATCATATCGGATAGGGGAACTCAATTTGTGTCGAGATTCTGGAGGACTCTTTTCAAGATTTTAAAAGTGGACATAAAGCTATCTTCAGCTTTCCATCCTCAAACTGATGGACAAACAGAGCGCGTAAACCAAGTCTTGGAACAGTATTTAAGGTGTACCATTAACTATCAACAAGATGATTGGACAAACCTTCTGCCATTGGCAGAGTTTGCTTATAATAATACGGTACATTCCTCCACGCAACAAACACCTTTCTTTGTCAATTATGGCTATCATCCACGACTTGATACTTTTGATTTTTCAAAAGTTGATAATCCTGCAGCAGAAGATATGGCAAATCGGTTGTCAGAGTTACATGCAATAATGAAGGCGCAGTTGAAGAAAGCTCAAGAACGGCAAAAGATAAATGCAGATGTATATCGTAAAGAGCAACCACAACTCAACGTGGGTGATAAAGTATGACTACCTCGTCGCAATATCAAGACCACTCGACCTTGTGACAAATTGGACTATCGTAGGCTTGGCCCCTTTTCTGTTTCTGAACAGATCAACCCAGTTGCATATCGGTTACATCTACCGGAGTCAATAAAGATCCATCCTGTATTCCACGTGTCTCTTCTTGAACCATATAAGACAGTGGATATACAAGGAAGAAGACAAATGCCATCGCCTCCTATAGAAGTAGATAATAATGAAGAATTTGAGGTGGAAGAGATATTAGACTCAAGGCGGCGCCGAAATAAGCTGGAATATCTTGTTCATTGGTGCGGATATGATATTAGTGAGCGCACATGGGAGCCATCCAGGAATCTAGCAAATGCATCAGCTAAAGTCAAAGTTTTTCATCAACGACATCCATCAAAACCAAGATGAAAACCTCTCTTATAAAAGAGACAAGATTGAGGCAAGATAACATTCAATTTCCTATCCTTGTTTGTAACTTCTTTGCATTTTGTGACGCTAATTAGATGGAGAGCCAACAACCAGCAGATTCAACTCAAGAACCTTCGTTTGCTGACTTACCGGATGAGACATTGCGATTGTCACAACCTTCAAAACGACGCAACCGAGATGAAGACCCTCAAGAACGACATGTTCTTCCTCGAATAGATGGTGAGATACAACGCGTTTGGTATCACGACCTTGGAAGAGATTCTCGATGTTTGGTGATATTATTGGAGGTAGGAACGACTCCTGATGGTGTTTCAAATGTATTATTTGAAGGAAGTTATGAAGGCCTCAACAGTGATCAAATAATAGGGTGGTTTTCTCGCCCTGGAATGGGACACTATCGATGGCTAAGAGGACCCATCAACTATCTTCGAAGAGAACAAAGATCAGAGTATGTAGCAAATACAATTCGCCGCATATTAGATTTTCTCAATATATAATCACCGCTCCTCGTAGAACTCGTCCCTAGAAGGGGGGGTAATGTCACGGACATACATATAATTACCTATATGAATAGATAAAAGTATGTAAAAGTAGGTTAATTGTGTAATATCTTCTAGAGAAGCTTCTTAGAAGCTTCATAGACGCTGCTTTGACTTTATAGGAGTCTATAGTTGACTTTTAGGTTAGAAACTTGGTCAACAAGTTAGCCATGTGCCACACATGTTGGAAGCTTAAAGAACAAGCTAACTATGTGGTCCATCCATAGAAAACTTGCCTTGCAAGCAAAGGCATGTGGCCTAGAAAGTCAACATATATTGGAGGTCTTATAGAACATCGCCACGTGGCTTCTAGTTAGATAGTATATATAGAGGCAAGAGTGAAGCCCTCTTCACTCTTGTCAACTCCTTTCTTGCTTCTAGTCCAGGTTCAAGAGTCTTTAGTTTCTTGTCTTGTGGCAATAGCCATTCCAGTTTCCTTTTAATATACCTACTTGTTTATATTTTGACTTATTATATCGAGATAGCCTTTTGGTGTATATTTTTTCTCATCGAGTCTTTATCCTTGACAATAAATTACATGTTGGAATTCTCTTAATTCTATTTTAATTGTAAGATATTAGAGTTGTACATAATTTTTTGATATCTTTTTCTATTTGTAAAATGGGTATAATCCATTTGTGTGAAAAAATAAAAATAACAACAACAATTAAGCCTGGAAGCTGAGTTGAAGGCTTTCACAAATAGAAGCGTCGAAGCACAAGATCATATCTTGACTTTGCATAAGACGAGTGCTCGAGGGCTTGCAAGATACCGGCGATGAAAGAAACGGGAGATGGCGGCGCTAGGCAGGCCAAGCAAACAAGCGCGGCAATCGCTTCGAACTCGTTCTCCGTGGAACTATTTGCTCGTGATCAGTAACCGGACATCCAAACATTTGGGGCGTGATCGACGCGATGAAGCTCAAGCGAGTGATTCCTGCTCATGGTACAAGGCCATCGCCAAGCAAGCCGGACACGGAGATCACCGAATGAAGTCCATTTAAGAGAAATTTCGCACCAGAATTAGGAAGCTTGAGCGCTCCGAGACGACCCAATATCAGCAGTTAGAGATGTGGTGTGACACTCAATTAAGTAGTTGGTAGCCGAACTTTCGACAAAATAAATTTCTATAGCAGTTCATGACCTGGTGTATCGTTGAACTTAATATCCCTGCTGGATTTTCCACCTAAACTACAAGTTCCTGCCATGAATTTTATCCACCAGTGGATTTGAATGCTATAAGGGTATGAGAAATTCTCCCAGTTGCGATCTCCTCACTTACTGCGAATTAAACCTTGCCCTTGTGAAATGGAGGCATTATTTGTACTGAGCTCCTGGGCGATCTCCGTGTATGCATCCTCATATTTTTCTCCAGTCCATGCTGTGTGCTCGGTTGATCAAGATAATTACGTGTTTTGAAGCTTTCTTTAGCTTTCAATTACAGTTTTGCAGAAGAGGGTAGGTAAGACAGAGCTGCAAGTCTGAAATACGCGAAATTTTAGATTTGTGCTTAAGTAAAAGCAACGTAACATAAAGGAACGTAACACGGAATGGACTCGAACTGCGAATTATGCAAGATGAAGTAGCAAATTTGAGGCCACAAGCTGCACTTTGTATACTGAGCAATTCTAGCCCATTCCAATGCGCTGTGATCACCTTGGAAGGGCACTGCGCTTACGTGATTATCCTGATGGAAATCGCCCCTGTGGATTCCAGAAATCCTTACCTGCTGCCGCTGGAGACAACAGAGTACTGTGCAAACAAGGGAATGCTCTGCTTTTTGGAATTTACTTTGGGGCATGGCAGTACTCTGTTTGAGGTGGAGAATAACAGGTTGTGAATATAGGTTAGCAGGATTCCGTTATGCCGTTACCGTTATCAGCAATGCAGCTGCGAAACGGTCGCCTCCCTCGACAACTGCGCTACAACAATACTCCCCACGAAACCCGTCAGACATCTCACCTACCTGGTTCGCCTTCCAGCAATTCATCGGAGGTATTCCAATTTTCTCGTGCGTAGCTCTGCTGATGTAATTTGTGATGGCGATCGGTATCTCCTGAAATGAAACGCTAATGAGAGCACAAATGGGGCTTGGCGAATTAGGTCAAGAGTCGCTCACAGTGGAACACCTATGGAAGCAGGACCTGGAAAAAATTCAAGATGCAAGGCCGTCCTTCTGCAGGCAATCGATATGATTATTCTATCACTGTTACACAAACTCTGGAAGTTAAACATCGTGTAAACAGTCATTGGCTCCGTGTATGAGGAACAATGACGACCTCATATGGCTGTTGCTGCTGTGTGGTTCAGATACTCTGCAACGTATTCTCCGCCGGCATGTGCTGATAGGAAGTTACCAACTCCATACACCCGTAAGTTAACACAAGCTTTAATACCAAGGTCCCCCTCACACTTTAATCACGTAGTTGATCATTATTGAATGACTGAAGGGAAAGCTCAACATGTGATATTTTCTGTGATGAGGATTTAGCTAGATTTTAAAAAGATGCTAAGTCCAATCATGCCACTCGTCACACTTGTTTCTGGATTTCAATCTGGCAGTTGTTAAAATTTCGAACTTTTCAAAATATGTTTTAAAACGTCGATGGAGGCGATTTTGTAACCTTGAAATAGTTGGAGGGTGGAATTTGAGCTTTTGTAGGGTCCCCTCAGAGACCTCCACCAGCTAACAAGATGGCACTAAGGGCTCCGAACAAAAACTTGTAAGTAACTTATCAGAATCGTGTCATCAGTAGGCGCTATATATGTGAACCTTGCAAGTATTCCACGAGGATGTTGCCATGCACCCATTATTAAACCCTACTTTTAGGATTATAGTTCGAGTGAGAGATGGAATGAGATACCTATTAACCTGTAAACCTATAAACCTCGACATGAGGATGTCAAAAATTCTTTGCCTTGAACGAGGGCTCAACTTTATGAACGCCGGAGTCACAGAATCAGGTTCCGGTGCTTTTGGAAGACAACTGTGATTTTCGAAGTCTTGAAGAACCGGGGTTGGACTGAGACAAACAGGTAATCGTCATTTTAATTTCTAAATCCATCTTGATTGAAGTATTCGCCACCGTCACTGCATGACATAATCATCGAGCTTTTAATTCTAGATTTTTGTTGGAATCGTTTGGGGGCTTAGTGCACCTAAATGAATATTTCATTATTTCATCTGCTCTAGAACATCCAATTATACGTTAGCCGGATTGGTTGCTTACATTGGAAAGTGCAGCGAATTGGATTGGGACTTTTTTTGGTCAGATGTCGGGTGGATGTATGAGTTCTTCGATCATATACACCTTGCAGATCATCAGGTGACATGTCAATTTATTCACTTCTCCTTTCCTGTTCGTAGAAGTGCACATATGCTGTATTTGTAATTCTGAATCTAATCCCCCTGATGTATAACATGAGTAATTGATTATAACATGCACAATATTTAATGTTATGTGTGTTGACTACCAGAGATTCAACCACTTTCGTAATTATTATGAGGTATAAATCTGTATCTCATGACAAATCTTACCAACAGACGTCCACAGTGCTTCGTTTGCAGAAGTTTCTGGGCTGGTTTGAACTTGAAGCAAAGTGATCTAGATTCAATTTCACTTGCTAATGGTAGGACTCTATCATTGCAGTTGACAAGGAAAGACTTATTGATAAAAAATCTTAAGCGTATGAAGAAGACTCTGGAGCGTGATGGCCAAACTGTGGAAGCAGGAAAGTACGCGTCATTCTCATAAGTTATCATCTGGATGGAAAGAACAACCTGGAGCAAATTAGTGTATTGACTCATTTGTAGCAAGTCTTCTCGATTTCAATCATACCTTCTCATTTTCCATGACTGCAACTAATCACTAATTGAATCGCAGGTACAACTTTTTCCCGCAAACCTATGCACTGCCCGCGGAGTATGGCCTTTTCGTTGAAGAGTTCAAGAGAATGTCACCGGTATATGAACATTTATTCCTAAATCATGTGGCACAAAAAAAGTTACTCATCCATCTGAAATATAATGAAGAATTACTTTTGCACTTTTGGTTATTGCAATTACTTCTTATTTCTCCTCTCTTCTCACAACATGGATGCTTCAGCTTAGAAACGATGTAATTTCAGGACCCGAAACTCACAAAACTGCCGAAGGGGGCTAAAAGCTTACAAGAAGTTGTAAGTATTCACAGGGCTCTGTTCTTCGTATTTGAGGAGGTTTGATTGTTATTTGACCACGGTACTGAGGATCGTAAACTTCGAGAAGCAGTCATGTGCCTCCTCTTTTCCATGCAGGGTGTGTGGATTATGAAGCCTGTGGGTAAAGCAAGGGGCAGGGGCATATTCCTTTTCACCCGCCTGAGCCAGATCAGTGAATGGAAGAAAGATCATCGCTGGAAAATCGAAAATCCTCAAGTTAGGATTAATTTCATTTGATATTCAAGTATTTGGTATGTTTTTATCTGATGGATTCATGTAAGAGAAACGTAAGAGATGATTTTGCTTTATTTCTAAGATTTCATTCAGAACTCGTTTGGTAGTCTCGGAAAGAAAGAATGGTAGAATGAACTTATTCTGGAGTGGACTATTGGGATATGGCCGTTCAGGTGGAAAATTACATTGTGCAGCGGTACATCGACAACCCCTATTTAATAGGTGGAAAGAAATTTGATCTCCGCCTCTACGTGTGTGTTCTTTCCTACGCTCCACTCAAGGTAATTTTTACCCCAACGGAGCATAGCTGAATTTGACGCATAGCTGAATTTCAAGTGTTGATTGAGCTTATTTTCGCCACAAAGTGCTCCACTTACTTTATAAGTTGATCGGAGGCAGGCGTATGTGTACAGATCAGGATTCGCCAGATTCACGATTGCTCACTTCACCGTAAAAAAAGAAGACATTGTCAACAACTTGGTGCATCTTACCAATTTCTCCATTCAGAAGCATGCTCCCACCTTCAAGTCGAAGACTGGTACTAAATGGTCAGTTATGTCCAGTGCTCTCTTTCACATGTGAGACAAATAATGAAAGTAATCGTGCATTGATCTGAAAAAGACCTGGAATCATTGATTACTCCGTAACAATGTCATTGAAGCAGGTCCCTGCACAGCCTTAAGATGCACATGATATCGAAGCATGGAGAACAGGAAGTAAATGCCCTCTTCCACAAGATCCATATGCTCATCCTGCGGTCACTTCTGGCAGTTCAGAACGTCATTATTCAAGACAAGCATTGCTTTGAGCTTTACGGCTACGATATTCTGGTGGATGATACATTGAAACCATGGATCCTTGAGGTGAGTGCCACAGATCCACATCACTTCCTCGCGTGGTTTACATAACCTTCTAAGTTTGGATCGTACACACCAAGTCAATTGTCCTTAGATGGATGAAGCTCAAGTCGTCTTTGTTGGCTACTCTCACTCAAACCATTCGAATGGCTGAACTGATCTCGAAGGTGAATGCGTCCCCTAGTTTAGCTGCTGATACACCCGTGGACCATGAGCTCAAGTATGGGATGCTTGATGATGTTCTCACCCTCGTCGACATGGAGCACAAACTGCCACCCCAGAGCTTAACTCAGGTGCAATCAAAAACTTTACTAGTGTTTATAGTTTGTTCATCACATGTCAGTATTCTTTCTAACTGTTTCGAGCAACTGAAGTTAAAAACCTATGGATGATGCGAGACTGGAATCCCATAAATTTCATCACCTTGCTGAGGAAAATGCTGACTGCAAACGTTGTGTCAACATAGGTTGGGGGATTTGATGTGTTGATAGATCAAACAGCTCCTCCAGCCGCCAAGCCTCCACAGCAATCTCACCTCTTGGGCTGTTACAATGACCGATTGGAAAACCTGAAAGAGTTGAGAAAGCCGGCTAGACAAAGCACCGCTTGAGAAGCGAACTTATGGTGATCTTTTGAGGATTGCAATCCAGGTCTTTCGAGGCATTTTCTTATTTGAATATGGCCCTTTTCATTTTTTTTCATTTCTCATCTTTTTATATATTTTTCAGTTCAAGTCAATTTTGCTGTTTTATGTAAACGACGTTTGCTAAGTGAAGTAAATTTATATCACTTGTGCAGCAATCAGGTTCAACTTGAGTTAATTTTGCAAATTTGAATGGACGAAACTAATGATTTAAAGCCTTGGGATTGATCAATAATGAGTTCATTAATGTGCAAATTGCATGGAATCGAAGTGTTCGGTCATGTTTTAGTAAATAGAGTTGCTTGCAGCATGTTATGTAAATTGATTTAATTTTGGTGATGGAGCCAAAGGTTTTCACATGATAATTGACTATTTTATTGCAACCTTCTGAAAGATACAAAACCTTCGTGTGACCAGATTGTAAAAATTTGGTGGAATGATTAATTTATTGTGGTCGAAAAAGTATTCAAAAGGATAAACTTCACATCCATACATAAAATACCCATCACTCTACTCCCATTTATTGTGGCAAATTACACTAATTTAGATGTAAAAATGTCGAAGTGGAACTTCACCAACTCTAATCTAATCTAATTTAGTTCATCTTGAATACCTCAAAAATTCTTCACATGGTTAAATGACTTATTTAAATAAAATAAAACAAAATAAATGGTGTAAAGATGCATATTGTCATTAAACTTATCCTTCATCAGTCAAAGTCACGATACAACCTTTCTAAAGAAGTGTCACGAAATTAATTGTCTAATGAAAAGACTAACCTAAGTAAACTTGTTCTAAACTGAGTAGACAAAATTGCTTACAAGCGAAACGACTGATCAAAGAAGTTGTGATCATTGATCAAACTCGCATCTGTAACTAAGTGAACTGTTTCAACATCCAGTTATTGATGAAAGTATAGAACGGTTCTTACGCGACAGCTGCCTCTTCAATCCTTTCATGTACATCATGCCCTTGATTGAAATTGGGGGGCTTGGAGATAAGACCAAGGGTCTGAAACATCTGCTGGTCTGCATCTTTATCATTGTTTGGTGTCGTTAACAACTTCTCACCCGTGAAAATTGAATTGGCTCCTGCCATGAAGCACAGCGCCTTCACGGACAAAACATAAGGTCCAGAGGAAGGTTAATTAGCACCAACTCTTCTTTGCTTTCAAGCCAACCCACACTGATACACAAGGCCGAACATCTCGTCCTTAAAGGATAAAGGTTGGAATTTACCTGCTCTGGTTGGGAGAAGCGCACACGGCCAGCTGACAATCGCACCATTGCTTTCGGCATAACAATGCGAGCCGTTGCGATCATTCTCACCATCTCCCAAACCTCTACGGGCTGCAGTCAGACCACTATAAATCGGTTAGAATTAAGGATAGCAAGGACATGGCATGATCCATCCAAAGATTCAACCTGGTTGCAGTTGCAATAGGATTCATTCATGTTTCTGGAAGAGAACCAAGTATGGTGCAGACTCGGGATTGAAGTTAATCGTACAACCTTTTGGTTCTCGAGGGGGGTACCCTTGACCGCAAGGAGCGCGTTTATGGGCACACTTTCAGGGTGTTCGGGCAGGGTGGCCAAAGTGTGTAGCAGCCCCACTCGATCTTCCTCAGCTTCACCAAGTCCGATTATACCTCCTGTACACACGGTACGACGAGCCCGTTTCACATATCAGCAAATAAAATGCAGCATAGTTAAATGTACAGAGATGTATGTGTATATATATATATATGATGAGGGAAAAAAAACGAAGATGCCATGTCTCTAACGATGGGTGTCTGAAGATTGGTATCGCACCTGAGCACACACTGATCCCAGCGTCCCGAACGAGTTCAAGTGTTTTCAGTCGTTCGTCATATGATCGTGTGGTGATAATATTCGGATAGTATTCCCGAGATGTATCCAGATTGTGGTTATAAGCGGTAAGCCCAGCAGCCTTGAGTTGTTCTGCCTGCTTCTGTTCCAACATGCCTAATGTGCAGCATACCTCCATCCCCATGCCCCTGCTCATGAAGAACAGAGTGTGAAGGCAATGATTGAGATAGATATCTTCACAGCTATTGGGCTCTTCAAAGCACATGGCTTAAGGGTTTGAAGCGAATGTAAAAAAAACTTATCCTAGAACATCCTAGGACTCTCACACCCTCATATACAACTAAATGAGATTGGTTTTATTAGACATTACCTAATCTCTTTAACATACTCTAGGATCTGATTGAAGTTGGTTTTCCTTCCAACAGTGTCCCTCCAAGCAGCACCCATGCAAAACCTTGAGCTCCCTGCCTCCTTAGCCTGTTTTGCAGGACGATAAAGTTTCATCATTCACACTGTACCCATAACTTTAAATCTCGCGTGCAAACGCAAAAATTGACATGGAGAAGAATGCCGACATTAAAAAACTACTTTGCACGTGTGGATCCGAGCTAGGACCCAAGCGCTGTATCACAACTTCAGCAAGTACTAAAAAAACAAGGAAACTTACCTTCTTCGCAGCATCCAAAACGATATCTTCAGAGAGCAGCTTTTGTGCCTTCACACCAGTGTCGTACCGAGAAGATTGAGGACAGTAGGAACAGTCTTCGGAGCATCCGCCCGTTTTTATGGAAAGTAATGTGCACTGCTGCACTTCCCTCCATTTATGTGTGTGCTTGTGAACTTGAGCCTGGCAACAACTTCGAGTTCAGATCACCACCAATGCACAGCATGCTTGAAACCTACGTAGATACTTCCCAAAGCCCTAAGAAATAAAATAAGAAGCACCAATTTGAGAGAAATTCTGCACCAAAGACACACCCCGTAGAGCAGAAGATCCATCAATGGCGACTCGTAGATGGCCTGAATCTCGTCACGCGTCCAATCATGCCTAGGCTCGTTCCGGATAGCGTACTCTCCCGCAATCGCAGCGGAAGATACCTGCCTCAATGAAGAGCTAGATATCTCTTCGCTATGATACTCCCGCACTTGACCCAACAACGCGAAATAGCCGGAAGGTTTCAACTGGCGGGGCAGGGCAAAGTCTACATCCCGAGACTTGCGAACCGAATTGGAATACACAATGCGAGAGGAGCGCGAGAACGAAGCCACGCGACGAAGAAGGCCCACACTCGAAGCCAAAGAGCGCATTCCGACCGCCATAACTGCAAATCTTCCACAACCAATACTTCCAAGCCCACCCAATTCTATCAAAACTAATGTAACAGGGCAGAGAATGCACAAGTTCCCGTCCACATTGAGCTACGCCTCGACGATTGAATGATGCGACAATCGCACACAGCAACCAAAAATCAGAATCTAACCCTCGCAACACATTCAGCACATTCTGATCAGAGAGAGCCCTAGCTTCGACTGTAGAGGACGACAGTTTCCACGCAGAAACTGTGGTGGCGGCGATGATTCCGAGGGCTGGGTGCTTCCTTCACCGGAAGATGCTCAGCACGTCCAATTCTTGACGGACTTCGTCGTCATTTCGTTGTCATTTCGTCACCGAGGACGTGAGGGATAATGTCGATGATAGTCCTTGCGTCTATTAATGTCTTCAAGTCAAAGATTTGTAGACGAGGCCAAATTTTCATTTGCATGCAAAAGAAAACTTGCAGAAATAAAAACTAAACTTTCCAGGAATTCTTGAGCATCTTATTCATCAAATAGGAAGTATAAGTAACACTTTAGATATTTAATGAGTTCAAAATGTGTTTCCTTTTACAAGCACTCATCCACAGATTATATAGATTTTCAGCGAGCTTCAAACAATGTTCATCTAATTTGAGTTTGAGAAATACTTTGCAAGATTCTTATTTTTCACTTTGGTTCATTGCACACTGATGTACCAAGTGTGCACACAATAATCACAACTGGGTTGAAATTTCCAACAGCTTTTTGAAGTGACAAGATTCCTTTCAAAAGAGTGACAAGTTCTGGTCAATTCACCAACAACCCTTGAGCGAAACAGCATCAAATTCCGTCACAAAAATAAATGGAAGTCTTGAGGCGTTACACTGCAGCATCAATTCACCATCTCGTTCACTTATGCAATTCAATCATTCAGACGGAACATGATTGTGACCCTACTGGACCCACAACTTACAACAATGTTTTTCATATACTTCTTTTTCCAGGTCATACTCGTCGAAAAAGTTCCCAAACAGATACCGACAGCTAGCTCACTTAGCTTCCTGAATTGCATACTAGAATTACACTCCGAGTTGGATCCTCATACCATGTTGGATTCTACCCATGCCGACCTTACAACTGCTCTTCCGTAGGAGATTCAAGAGTAACGCTGTGTCGGTGATGTTTGAGTGGTTACAGTTATCGATCAGATCCATGTCGGCTCACCGACACAAATGCTACAGGTTGGGTACATTCGGCGGCTTGGTGCTGATTATTGTGAGACATCTGGGAAGAGATGCTACGGGCTCAGATTCCATCGAGCAAGCAAAATGGTGGAAGGATTTGTCTTGTAAATGATCGTACATGTGGAGGTGGCGGGGGATATCTACAAGGATCAGGTCACCGCCGAGTTCTCGATGAATGTGTGGCCAAAACCGCCACATACGGGACCGAGTGTCGTGGTGAAAAATTCCTGTAGACACGCAGCGACACACTGAGGGACAGTTCATGAAGACCGCTCTTCTTAGTATCTTGGACGCCGAGACAACATGCGAAGCTCAGCGATGGAAGCTGCCGGTGGAAGTAGCATCTCTCCTGCATCGGTTTAGAGGCCGATCTTGTTCATGGCCAACTCCCCAGGTCCATCCCTGAAGGGAGTGTTTGCCGCTGAATATGACTCCCGTGTGGATTGAGAACCGGCGGGAGCACCAGGGGAATTCATCGCCGTCATGCAGCGGCAACACCACTCATCCATTTTCCTTTGGAAGGAAATTTGCTTCAATCGAACCCCCATGCTTCTGTAGTAATGATCCAAGTTTGCCTGCAGGTACAGAAGAGGAATTGGCATCAGGTTTAAGATGAGACTGCAGTGGAGTTGATAGTAGACGGTAAGATGACGGAGGTTTCATCATAGAAGATTGGTGGACAGACCAGATCGTCGGCAGATGCAGCCTCCATGCGGCGCTCCCAGTCGTGGAATGCGTCTTCCTGAACAACACCTTCCACCTCCCCGTAAATGGCTGCGTGGAGGCTCTCAGCATGACGTCGCGCTTCAGCCAACTCCTTTTGAAGCGCTTTGATTTTTCCCGACCGAGAAGAATTGTCATGTGATTGGACTCCGGATAGCTTTCTGCTGTCTGAGTCTGCATATTGAAATCGAAGAAAAAAAAGCATAAGAACGTTGAGACGATGTGAGTGCCAAACGCACGTTGAACATTTTCAGAAGATAGATGAGAACAAACCTGCTGCTTGAGGAGGGCATTTCTCGAAGTGTCCAGTGTCTCTGGAGGAGGTCCGGGTTGAAGCTCGGCTTAATCTTCGACAATCAAAGCCCATGGGATACAAAGCATCCGAGTGATTGGGTCCTTGCGACCCAGCTGTCCAGTGGACTACTGGAGTCTCCGGAGGCCACACCACTGGACACGGAAACCAGCTGTCGGAGGTATGTCCTGAACCTAGAACTCCACGCTGACCTCGTTCCCACGCCCAGATATCCCTACCGCCATCAGACATGGTGACCGTGTGTGCTGCCCCGCACGTAATGCCTTTGGATCCCGTGACAGGATGACAGTTTGCCGAGCTATCCCCGAACACGCGCACAGGAGAGAGAGCATCGCCGCTTCTTGAACCAGGGGGTCCAATTCCAGCGCAGAGGCCTAATCCTCCCTCCATTCCCCACACCCAAACGTCACCTATTTCAGTAACCACAGCTGTGTGAAAGAGTCCACAGGCAACCGTCCGAAGCCGCTCGTTCGGAAGGCCTTCAACAGGAGCAGGGTAGGATTGATTTACCGTAGTGCCTTGACCTAATTGTCCATTCTCTCCCTGGCCAAATGTCCAACAAACGGACAATCGACCCTCTAAGCAAAAGCTCTCTTTCGATCTGGTGCTGGCACACTGTGTGAGATTACGGCTGGAAGATACGCGCGACGAGCCCCAAGCGGTCGACCTGAGGGAGGAACTCGTCACACTGTCTTGCCTCGTGCGCACGTTTGGAGAGTTTCGATTGTGTTCCAACTGGTCGACCATCGATTGATGAGTCCTGAAGAAACTATGCCTGGGAGTGGGGGAATCTTGGATGACGTCCCAGCCTTGCTTGTTACGTCTACTTCTCGGGGAGTTCGGTTCCAATATAAGATCCGTAGGATTGTCATCCTTCACAGCAAGAATCGCAGTGTGAAATGCGCCGCAAGCAAGGTCAACTATAGAACCCACGACGGATGCGGCGAGATATTTCACAACCTGAGGGTATGGCCTGTCTCTGAAATCTCCAAGTCCTAGCTGACCAAATTGGTTGTTACCCCAGGCATAACAGTCGAGATCAATCTCATCTCTTCCTTCCACAAGAGCGACTATGTGTTCATTCCCCAAAGCGACTCGATAAACCCTGAGCCCCGAAAGTCCTCTTACCCTCTCAGGGCTCTCTATGTTTATGGCACGGTAGCTCATATCTCTGCTGCTGTGGTTGTCAGAATAGTCCGAAGGGTTGGACACAGCACCCCAGAGCCAAAGCGCACCGTCTATGTCTACAGCGCAAGACATCATGCCACCAGCTTCCACGAGGATGATCTGCACCAATTTTTACTAGAATCTCAGAACTCACTCACAAATCAAGGTATAGCGATATTTCTCGTGAGGAATTCGGACACTCAGAAATCACCTTTGGCTGTATGCTCTCCCAGTCGGAAGTTGCTCCCTCGTGGCGCACAACCCCACTTCGGCGAACCTCATCGCCGGAGGTTCTGTGAGTGAAGGAAATTGGTGAGGGCTGCGATGTAGCCTTGTCACGACCAAGCTGACCGCCCATGTACAGTTAAGGAACAAGAGCTTCAAGCAGCATTTAAGCAAGTAAGAAACGCGTAGAGAGCATATTGATTTCGAGAGAGGAATTTGTAAAGAGAAAATGAATCGAATGTAAAAATTTCAGAGCTGGATACAGGCATTGTAACCCCAGGACCACACCACGCCGTCCGCAGTCAATGCGAGGTTGTGGTAAGCCCCAGCTGCGACCTGCGTAACTTTAGGTGGCCGATAGACGCCATCTTTGCCAAGCACGTAATGGGCGTGGGAGTTGTCCTCTCTCCCGATTGAGTGCGAGCCCCCAGGACTGTTTTCATTGTCAAGGTTCGTCCCAACGGCAACAAGGGTAGGTATAAGCTCGTCTTGGAAGACACCCGATCGCCCAAATAGGCCTCGCCCCCATGAATACACATCTCCCGTGGCTGCACAAACACATTTATCTTCTGTCAATCGACATTTTCCAGGTATAAAATATTCCGCAGCCTTTGTGTAAATTCCGAAACCTTCCAGACTCAACGTCCGAATTTTGGTAGCTCCAGCAAGTGCAATAAGAAATAAGAGAGGTGGACAATTGCTACGAAATGGAGGGATGCATTCAGAAACTCGCAAATCTCTGCCGCGGAAAACTCCGCCCAGAGTAGGAGCAAACTTGGATTCCTACACGAGTCACAGAAACTCGAGGGCTGCATGATTTGTGTGCTTAACCTCAACAGCAAGCTCCATCATTCTGGAACAAAGAAAAAGAGTCTTGTTCCAAAGGCAGTCAGTAGCTAAATGCGTTCCGCTTGCATTGTTCTCGTCAGAACGCGTAACGTCACACTGATGTCACAACCTTGAAGAGTTACACAGGTTTAACGAGCACTTCAATCCCAGGATACATTTCACCCCTGGTTTCTCCTGTGAGGATTCCGTCACACGATCTCATCAGCCTGCGCCTAGTTCAGTGCCATGCCCCGCAACAACCTCCACTTGCGTTCGACTCAGCACGTAGTAATCCCAGCTCTCGATCACAATCCAACACGAGTTCTCCAACCTGCACAAACGCAAACGAGAAGAGCTATCTAAGCAAATGCGGCGATCATTACCTGTGAGAGCAACAGTGTGGGCATCTCCGGCAACAAGTTGCACTACAGTACCCTTGGCATACTCAGAAGCTTCTCTTCTCGCCATACCTCTTCAGCCGATTCTTCTTCACGATTCTCCTCCAACGCCTCTCTAACTTCCCTCGGATGTAAACTATTCTTCCTACTGCCTCTTTCTACTTTCGCAGCCAACCTCGCACACTGAAATTCCCTGCAGTAGGCGATGAGCGTCATGTCCATGAGAAGCGAACCAGCACACCAACTTCACCTGCTCTTTCTTCAAGCTGATCCATAACAGCCTTTCCCCACTCTCCACCACCATACGAAATCCGAGGAGTTCCATTCTCTATCCCTCTCACCCCCTTGCGGAATCAGCACATTACAGCCAGCTGATCACCGCAGCTGAAAGGACGCAGCCGCCTGTACAGCAAGCATGTTAGCCGCGCAGTGCTCAGTGGCGATCATCAAGTTCAACCCTCGAGAGTAAAACTCGTTGAGCAGATCCCACGCTTGCTCTCTGGCTGCCTGACACCCACTCCCCACTGACACCCACAAATCACCAGCAGACTATTTTACCCCGAGCTTGCGACAGAGCATAGATATTCATATGCCCACGGCGTGTCTGAGCCCGCGGATCACTCAGAAACGAAAGTCCAGGTTGAGCGGCGCCGAGACGAATCCAACCCCAACCCGGTCCAACCATCGCTGATCGGTGTTGCATCTCGCCTGCGAACGAGGATTGATCGGGTGCGGATTGACCGGGCTCATCGACCAAGTTTAGATCTGAGAGGGCTTTTCACTGTAGCTCGAATCACATCGCGACAAACGACGTCGCGAGACTGCAAGCCCAGTGCAACCTGGCATTGCCGCTGCGATGAAATCTTTCGACCCAGTTAGTCTTGGGTTTCAACTAGTTCTACGTCCTGAGCATTCTGTGCTTTTTGTATAGTATTTTTATGCGCTCGTTCTTAAAAATCAAACAGTGCAAGAACTCAACATGATAAAACAAACTATTTTTTCTTCATTTTTCAGTTATTATGTGCCATTGTTGTCATATTGAGGTGATGAAAATGCTTACACCAGTACCAGAGTCTTCTCCTTGTGGAAGTTTTATTTTATAGTTGAGATATTAAAACAATGACAATATATTGTTATATATATATATATATATATATGTGTGTGTGTGTGTGTGTGTGTGTGTGGAGGTTTTGATTTTTTTACTTTTTGGTGTTTTGGTGGAAATTAGCTTGTGTCACTTCATGGTTCATAAGATACATGCAATAAATCTTTCACTTTTCATGCAACAAATGCATAAACCATCATTACAGATCTCATACTATGTTATACAACACATAAATTGTTATTACTACTCAAAGCATGTACTTGGAATTTTGATGATGGATTTTCAAAGAAACACTTCAATAAATTTTTTAAATAGTTTTTTTTTTTTTTTGTTTTTTTTTTGGTTTTTTTATCAATACATAATAACTTCTAGATTTATTAAAAAATAATATCATTTAATTTATTTAATTATAGTATATTTATTCATAAAACTCTATATTATGTTAATTGATCTTTAGATTGATTGTTGTGTAGGTACTATGTTTGATACATAATAATAAATGTATCTCATATAGACAAGATTTCTTATTTAGAAAGATATAAATAATACAAGGTTTCAAATAAGGTAGTTTTGTAAAACCAAATAATTGAGATTTATTTTTAGGATTATTTTAAATATCAAATCCAAAATATCACCATTCAAACTTTATAACCCTCTCATATTACCTCTTAATTCAAATTTTATTATCCCCTAGTATGTAATCAAAGAGAAAAGAGAGTGTTGCAGATATATATATTTATTCCAACAATTATCTATATGAGTAAGTAGAAGTAGATAAAGGTAGATTAATTCTATAATATCTTCTAGAGAAGCTTTTTAGAAGCTTTTTTGACACAATTTTGACTTTTTGCATGTTTGTAGTTCGTTGGTAGATTAGAAATTTGGTCATTAAATTAATCATGTACTACATATGTTGATAGCTTATAGCACAAGTTAATTATATGGTGCACATATAGAAAACTTATCTTGCAAGTTATAATATGTGTCTAGCAAAATCAATATGTATTGGAAGTCATATAGAACATTGCTATATAGTTCCTAGTTAAATAGTATATATGGAGGCAAGAGTGAAGCCTTCTTCACTCTTATTAATGCCTTTCTAGTCCTTAGTCTTGTTTCAAGACTTTTTGGTCTTCTTGTCTTTAACAATAGTTGTTTTAATTTAATATCATATCATCTTTCAGTGATAATCTAGTCTTTTCAAGTGAAAAATATATATATTGATATTTTAGTTCTTTGAAATTCATGTCTCTAATAATTTGATAAGAGTCATAATTTATTATTCTTATCTTATTTTAGAAGTGAGTGGATTATTCCACTTCTATTGTTGTGTTTTAAAAGTTATAAATTATCAACCTTTAAACACACTATTTATTTTTTTAACACAACTTTTTTTCTTAAGGAAAGCAGATTATCCTTCTTTGTAGAAATTTTCATTTGATATTAGAGGTTACGGATTATCTTCCTTTAATTTGACTTGTATATTTTTTAAGTTATTTGAAATAGGAGAAAAAATCATGGATGCTATATTTGGTGGAAGAAAGAATAGATTTGCAACTATTATAGATCTGCAAAAACTTATCGACAATCTAAAGATGGAAATTTCACATATCACTAGTGCCAACTAAAACAACAATAATCTTATGCCTATGGAAGAAGTATAGAGTCTACATCAAGAAATTGTGTAATTGAAGTAAGTAGATCAATTTCACAACCAAATTATGGAAGTTTTAATTCTACAAGAATGATAGAAATGAGGATTAGTATGGTCAAAAAGTTTGATGGAACAAGATTAAAATTTCAAGGATTTTTGCAACAAGTCAAGTTTTATCTAAATTTTCATCTCTTCTAATACCTTGATGGATTTATTTAAGTTAGATTTATGGACACACTTCTATGTGGAAGAGCTATCTTTTAATTTCCACCTTTGATTGAAAAAGATTTACAATTCTTTTATAAATTGAATTCATTCCTAAAAGTGTTTATGGCCACATTTGGAGAAAGTAATCGAGAAAGAGTAGCAAAGATTAAGCTTTTATCTTTATGACAAGGATCATAAGAATTCTAAAACCACACTCACGACTTTGACTTGAATGATAAAGCTCTTATCATTCAATTTTGATATGGATTGAAGGATAATGTCAAAGATTTGTTATTGGAAATGTAAAAAAAAAAATCTTCAAAATAATTTTATTGTTCAACCATTGCATGCAACAATCAATTATTTAAAAGGCATCATAAAAAAAGATTGGTTGGAGAGGAATAAGTCAAGTAATGATGGTAGGTCCCAAGTTTTCAAAAACTTATTCATCAAAGGTGGAACCAATGCAAATTGTTATGATAAGTTTTCAATCCATTATGGAATAAGAAAAGATTTGACGTTGTCAAGAAGATTTATGCTTATATTGTAGAAAAGTTAAGCATAATGTTCAATAGTATCTAAAAAAGAAACATAATTACAAAATGAGAAGCATGATTGCCAAAGAAGATAATATATCAAAAAATGAATTTTTTTACCTATAATAGACATTGTGGGGTTGGAATCAAGTAAAATATTTAGTAAACGTCTTATTTTTTCTTAAGATCCTTCATCTTATTTTACAATAGATGTGTGGTTAGGATCTAAAAATTATAAAGTCTTTATATTATTAGATTCAAGAGTCTCAGCTTGTTTTATAAATAAATTTTTTTTAAAAAAATAAGAAATATCTTTAATTAAAAAAAATAAACTTATACATGTAGAAATCATAAATAGTCATTTGTTGTCTTTTAGAGATGTTATTCATGATACTATTTCTTTAGATAAATTAATTAAAGATCATAATAGCTTAATACTATTTAATATAATAAGATCTAATTCCAACTTAGTTATTTTAGGATTATTATGGTTACAAAAATATAATCCTTAGATATATTGGATTTCTTCTAAACCTAAAATTTTTTATAGTTTAATCCAAAATATCATTAATCAAGTAGAAATACATAAGTCTAGTACATGCAAATCCTTACTAGTATGTGAAAGAACTTTTATGTATGTCATAAGAGAAGAATCATCTTTTGCTATATATGCCACACCCATTTTTGATGGTGGAAAGATGTCAAGTGGTATTTCAAGCTATTATCAATATTTTTAAGACATTTTTTTTTAAAAAATAAAAATATTCTTCTAGAGCATTGATCTTATGATTTTTCAATTGATTTGCAAGAAAGAGCTCAAATACCATTCAAATCAATCTACAATTTATTGTAGCATGAGTTGGTTATACAAAAAGAGTACATTGACAAGAATTTGGCTAAAAACTTCATATGCCATTTAAAATCTCTAACTTAAGCTCCTATCTTATTTGTGAAGGAAAAAAATTGAATCTCTATGGATGTGTATAGACTATCAAGGACTTAATAAGATCACCATCAAGAATAAATATATCCTACCTTTGATTTTAAGACTTATTGATTAACTCAATCAAGCAAAGATTTATATAAAAATAGAACTACATGAAGCATACAACTTAGTCCACATCAAAAAATGGAATAAATAAAAGACTACTTTTCAAACTAAGTATAGATATTTCAAATATAATATCATGCATTTGGACTCATAAATACATCAATTCTTCTTCAATATCTTATAAATGATGTTTTTAATGAGTTTTTTGATGATTTTGTTGTCTGCTATTTAGATGATATTTTAATATACTCTAAGAATACAAAAGAACATGAATTTCATATTCATCGTGTATTACAAAAACTTAGAGATAGAAGATTATATGCCAAGATGAAAACATATATATTTCATATTACTCAAGTTGACTTCTTAGGATACATCATTTTCAACAAAGGTCTAATGATGGATCCAAAGAAAGTTCAGACTATCAGAGATTGGAAGATTCTAAAAACAATAAAAAAATGTGTAATATTTTATTGAATTTTTTAGTTATTATAAGATCTTCATCAAGATTTTTTTTTAAATTACAACTCTTCTCACATATTTGATATGTAAAGAAAAACTTAAGTAGAGTAAAGAAGTTAAAGCATCTTATAAAGCCTTGAAGATAATATTTATTTTTACACCAATTTTATACTACATTAATTTTTTTAAGACATTATATATAGAAATAGACACATCATACTTTGCTATAGGTGTCATTTTGTCACAAATAGAAAGTGATGATAAGTTCTATCTAGTAGCTTTTAATTCCAAGAAATTTTTAGTAGCCAAGATTAACTATGAGATCTATGACAAAGAAGTTCTTGCAATCATAGATTCATTTAAAAAATGTCATCATTATCTATAAGGCACCTTGAGTCTAATTACTATGTATATAAATCAAAAAGACTTTGAATACTTCATGTTTGCAAGTGTTTTAAATTATGACCAAGGTTGTTGAAGCATGCCTTAATCAAGTTTTGATTTTAAGGTAAATTATCAATTCAAAAAATAACAAGATTTATCGAATGCTTTTTTTAGACATTCTTATCTTGTATCAAAAGAAAGAAACATAAATTTTGATCAACAAAGAATGATTTTCTTGAAACTAAAGCATTTTAATCTCCAAGCA